AGGTTGTGAGTTTGAGCCCCAGCAATGCCATAGGTGTGTGCCCAAAAGGAAAAATGTCTAGTGGGATTGTGTGATGGAAAGAGTCCTGGCTAGAGGGGAACTTGAGTATTAAAAACAATATCATTTTATTTACCTAACTGAGATGCAGAACTAAAAAGTGAAGATAACTTTTGACTCAACTAAGAAGTTTGAGTTGTGTGAACTCAAGTTGAGTCAACTCAAGAAAAGCCGTGTAATCAGTTAATAAATCATTTTGAGTTGAGCTGACCTCTCACTTTTAACAGTATAATTAAGTATTTTCAATTTGAGATAACTTGCTTGTAATTGTAAATGTGGTGAAAGTAACTGTGTAATTTATTGTCGTTTTTCTGACTAATTTCAATGACTAAAGGTGAAGTGTAGGTTTTGTTTTATAACATGAGCCAGGCAGAAGAGGGCAGCATTGCTCAGAGTTGTGGTTAAACATATACAACGTTGGAGAGTTTTACTGCAATAGTGTAGTATCTACAATAGGGGGCAACAACACACTGAGAATAAATGTCTAATATTTTGAGGGTTTTTTTTTTTTATTACTGACTGACTGACTGCTCTTTGGTGCTGACACTGAACTTACAGTATAGCCTAAAGAGTAGTAGATTAGAATAAAAATCAATAGCTAGCAACAATTGACAGCCTGTACAGAACCAGTGTTTGACTTCATGGGGAAGAGCTTCAGCCACCCCCCACCCCAGAGAAAGAGTGGAAAAAGGATAAGAACGGATATGGAGAAAAAGGTGATCTTTATGAAATTATATGGGAAAGAAATAAAGCTTATTCTGGGTGTCTCATTTCAGGCCGTAATTCTGAAAGTGATGAGACAGAATTGAGACACTGCCTCAATTTTGAGTCTTAAAACCTTAATTTTGGGGATATTCAATTGCAGTTATTAAAGAAAGCTGTATATGACAGCAATCTGAATGTCAGACATGATGGATGGGCTAATTTCAGCCTGACTCGGAGTGTGATAAACTAATGATTAAAATTTCAGGAGCGTAAAAGAGGCATTCCGATACATCTATTAAAGGCCAATACCAGCCACCTCACTCTCTATTCAGGTCATTTGGGATGACTTTGCCTGGAGAATGGTAATGCATGGAAATCTGAAACAGTACAAGCTGAACTGGCATAACTTCTGCCTTGCTAACTTTTTTTAATTAGTTTATTATTCGACTTTCTTTAAGATGCACCAGTAGCAGCAATATTCAAACACACGATACAGATGTAAAGGCACAGTATCAGTGTGCAGTCCATTGCATTAATCTCCCTTTTATCTGACACAGCAGAAAGTGGGGAGAATAGATTGTCCCTGTAATTCTAATGAATGCAGTGGGTTTTGGGTGTTGCCCCAGCACCAATTATCACACCTAATTTATCCCAGCTCCAGGGAATCTATTAATTGAAATGTAGAAATAAATAAAGAAATAAACATTCTCTCCTTTTCTTTCTAATTTCCACTCCTCAATGATGAAAAAGTTTTGTTCAAAGATAATCAGATCAGCTGTAAAAGGGGGGCTCTGATCAAAACTGTCATAGTGGAAATGATCAGAAAGAACAAGTACGAATCCAGAGCTTTTTATTTCAGTTAACCTGGAACGATCAACCAACACAGGATGTGCTATTTTAATTCAGAGAATGCTTTTGATTTGACCAATTCAGAAGATCAGAACTAGAGAAGGGCCTGAGAAAAGAGAGTGAGTGGCGGTGTGCTCTGCTCCATTCTGCTTGATCAAAAACAATGAATGTGGATAGAGAACAGAACATGGCAGATCATTTCTTAGATGAATAGTTGATGCGCAAAATGGATCAATGAGAAAAGAATAAGTATTTTATTTCGGATTTTGGAGTGATCCCATAGAAGAACCACCTCTGGCTCCCTAAAGCACTGCTGGAGGCCTCCAGCCCCAGTGTTTTTTCCTACTCCTAACACACCTGATTGTACTAGTCAGCTCATTAACAAGCCCTTCTTGAGTTTAACGGCATGTTCATACTTGTAGTTTGGTTCTTTTGGTCCGAATCAAAGCAGAAAAGTTTTGAAACTGTTTATATATTGAGGTTTGAATGATTGCAAATAATATAGTTATATTTTAACTGAAGTTTGTGGGGAGGAACATGGCTGAAACCCCTGCTTCTTCCAATCTAACACCCAATAAATTCACATCCTTACCTTCTGTTCCCATGATGATCTCCTCCCTGTTCCTCAGTCTTACATCAGCCCTACTACAGCTATGAGGGGGTCTGGCCTTCTAGCTACAGGCAGAAGCTACCCAGAACTCCAGCCCAAGTTCTCAGAGTTTTCCCCCTTCCCTCAATCAGTCTTTCCTCATATTACCACCACATGTTAAAGACATGGTCTGAACTGACAAATGTCTGTTATATGAGAGAAAGAGTGATGTTGGATTCAACATAACTTGCTGTGATCTCTACCTAGAGCTGTAAAGGTACTGATGGTGATAACACACTGATAAAGCTGTGCGAATGTAAAACAAGGCCATTTTCTTTAACTTGATTTAATGTCATTGTAATTTTGCTTTTGTTAGTTAGCAGACAGTGCACTATTTTGGGGATCTGCCGTTTTGTAGTGTCCAAAAACATAGTTCAGATGATCCAGTGCATTCAAACAATCCTACGACGCACTGCTATGAGTAGTGTACAACCAATGTACCCTAGGGATTAGGGGATACCCATAATGCACTGCATTGTTTGGTTTGAAGATTAATGCATAACTTCTCTGAGGAGGATTACTGAGCCCAGCTACATTGACAGCATCTCCACAGACCTGTTACAGCTCTTCTCATGTGTGCAGTCAATCTCAGCGGTTATAGAGGCATGATGTTTACAGTGTTTACGTGACAGACTCTGCTGTCACACAGCAATGAGCAAACCTGTATGACGTAGAGCCTGAAATTCACCATCCCCACCTGTCATGTAGTGAAACCCTCAACTAGCTCAGAGATCCTCCCAATGCCTTGTTTCACTTGGAAATATGCCACAGTTTGGGGGAAATATGTGTTATGATTTCTGATTATGTCAGACTTTAACAACTGCTATGATAGTTGAATAGTTACAAAGTGAGTCCATAGTGCTCAACATGACGGCTGTTTTAAAGAAAGCTCTGCCCTTCAATAAAAAGAGCCAGTCAGCTTGTTAGTGATGGTGTAAGTGGGGAAAAGCCCGTTGTAAAGATTTAGCTGGAATCACTGCTAAGAACAACCTGAACAAACACTTTTTTTGTAAGTTATCTGAGCCAAATTCTCCAAATGATTTATGCTATTTTTTAGTGAGAATTTACCAGTTATTTCACGTTTATGAAACCCTTAATATGGCTTCCTGTTTTGGGTTTATATTAAGTGGAAATAACTGCCTGACAGCATTGCCACGAAGGCAGCTGAGAGGACAGACTTTCCTATAAGGACTTTAATGTTATTAACTTATATTAATGTCTGCATCAAGCTTGCAGGGGTATTTATTTGCTTTCCATGTTAGCTGTATTTTAAACACAGACATGCAAATAACATATTCCTTACTTTGTATGTTGCAACACTGCAGTTTTATAGTCACTCCTTCTGCAATGGTTTTAACTCAAAGTCTGACTCTTATTACCGGATGAGTTTATTAGCCTGTTAGCTATCTGATAACCTGTTTAGACTAGTTTAGTGAGAATATTCTCAGTTACGGAATATAAAGTGTAAACCAGTTAAAGAGAGACTGGCTCATTTTAATGAAGGGTGGAACTTTCTGTAAAACAGCCGTCATGTTGAGCGCTGTGAGCGACCCCATTTATTTTTTTAACGGCAATCAGTGATTTTCATCCAGCAGTTCTTCATGTAGTTGGATTTTTGGGCATGGGTTTTAATGATAACAGCTAGGCTTTTTTAAGCAGGGACAAGGAATTCATACATCTGCACTGCACTTATATGAACATATACAGGTTGTTCTATAGCCCCGCTCCAAAGAACCATTTGGTACTTTTTTTAAAAACAAACATTTGATACTTCTGTGTCGCTTGCAGATTTAGAGATATTCTTTAGTTGTATGCAATAATTAATACCCCCTTTCAAATGATGTGTTTTGTTTATTATTTGTTTATTTTCTAAGTGAAAATCCTACACAGAAAACACTTAAATAATACCCAAATAATATATTTACTTTATACTAATACTTTAATGTGTTCGAAAAAAAAGAAAGCATGAAATAAGCAATTTTGCACTGGCCACATGTTATGTTTTATTTTATTCTCATATGCAAATAAACAGTATTTGTTATGTATATATAACTTCTCCCTTGCTACACACACACGCGCGCACACACACGCGCACACACACACACACACACACACACACACACACACACATACTTCATAGGTCAGTGGTGTGTTCACTTCCACGATTGACAGCAGGGTTTCTAGCTATGAGCTGTCCATCAACTTCTATTGTACTGGACTCCAAATCCAATTTTCAGTTCACCTTCACGTTTATGTACTTCATGCATTTACTTCTCACCTTGGGATATACGGGCCATAACCAAACAATCAAGTGTATTTGTGTGTGTGTGTGTGTGTGTGCGTGTGTGTGTGTGTGTTTGTAAATGCCTTAAAACACTGTGCTCCCCTACTATTTGTGACCCATGTAGACAAATAATACCCTTCATCTAGTACTATATATAGACTAGGTGAGTATGACGAGTGAGTTTCTTAATGGGAAACCTAGATTTGGCAGAAGCTGATATATGTAAACACAGCAGTAACTGATCTGTGCCGAAACCTGTACATACGACAGAGTCGATAAATCTCTTTGTTCTGTTACTCACAGGTACACTCCTTTTCCGAAACCACGATTCATCATCCCAGGAACAGCTTAAGTTACCTGCTTTGTCTTCCAGGCTTTAGATGTGTAACAACCGATTACAGCAATGTTTGCGTTTGTTCTGCACCCACAGTTAAGTTTTACGACAAGCCCGAAGTCCAACTTGCCCTTGTCATTCCACTCCTGCACTCCGGCCAGTTCTCTCTTTCGATTTGCTCTCTTGGCATATAAACAGCTTGTCTTTTTTCTTTCTGAAATATTGGTGAAGATGGAGATTGGACACAGTTTTGTTGTAAACTGAGGGGCGGCTTATTCAGTCTGCTTGTGAAAGGTGAGTTCCTTTCTTCATTACCATATTTTTCATTGCAAAGGGATTTGAAAAGAGATTTGGACAAGAGATTCATTGTAAAAGCATAGCAGGATGTGTTAAAAGGTATGTTTTGTATGCATTTAATCTGATGTGCTGTCTGTTTATGTATTTTCCTTATTTAGCAACGTACTTTTCATTTTAAACACTCTCAGACAAAATTGGCTCAATAGCTCAGGCTGAATTGGATGAAACAAATGCACTGGTTCATAATATTGCGGCTCTACCTCGAGCTAATGGTAGAGACACAAAACAGGGCATTCAAGCATAACCCCATTTATAGCAAACCATATCCATGGACATCAAAACAAAAGCACAGCAAAGCATTTTCTCCATAACAAATCTCACAATTATATTTTCTCCTTTTCAGGCTTGCCGGCAGAGGGATTTTGTTTAAGTTCATCATAGACAGGAGGGCACCAGGCTGATGATCATGGCAAAAGGTACAACAAAACATAAAGAAAAAAACAAACAAACAAAGAACAGGAAAGCAGAGCAAATAAACATGGGTGAAACTGACAAACTATAGACTTTTTATGATGGAAATCTTTCTAATTATCAATCTCAAACTACCATTACAGCAAAATAACACCAAAATGCTTTTTCCTTTTGACTCACCCACTCATTACTCACCCTACGGCATGCTTGCATTGACCTTGGCCAATTATAGCTATTATTTTCATTACGTATCTTCATTGTGTTTGTGTTACGTGTGGACTTTGCTCTTTAGGACATTTGAGGAAGTACTTGATCACACTTGGGTAGTTTGTGATTTCTGAGTTTAGCCAGTGCACAAGCTTACAGGCTTAGTTCTAGCATCTACCAGAAAATAGGTATCATTAAGTACATAGGGGGTGTTAAGGGGTACATCATGTCTTGACTCTTGAGCCAGAGTGTCTTTTTACCTAATAGCATTATTAGTTATGATTGCACTAATGCAACTCCTGGTAACAGATTTCATTCTCTTTTGTCAACAGATCTGTACTCCGAGAATGTTTATGCCTATGCTTTGGCCAAAACTCTTGCAAAAGTCCATCCTCCTATGACTGTGGGCTTATACTCTTCATGCCACACCAGGATCAAAATGATCCTCAAAAACATTGAAGGTATGTGTACTTATATAAGTGGGTTACATTGAGGTTAAATTGAATTGAGATGCTTCTTCCCATGAGTGTCAGTAATGTAGAAGCAATACTGTTCACTTTATGGAGTTTTTATCACCGACATCATGAAAATTTGATCAAAACTAGTAATCTATCTACAGTGTAGTGCAAAATTCATTTTGGTTTCTTCTATTTTTGCATATTTGTCACACTTAATTATTTCAGGTCTTCAGAAAAATATGATATAAAACAAAGACAACCCAAAATAAAGTGTAAATGGTCATTTATTATTTATTTATTAATTTAGTATTTCACTTATCTCCAACACCAACTGATACTGTGTGAAAAAGTAATTGCCCTTTAATCAAGCAATTTACCAAAATGTAAAGGATAATTGGAATCAACTAGACACACTCAGGATTGATTCCTCTCAGCTCTGCTGAATCTAAACATCACTTAAATAGAATGTTCCCAGCAATGTGAAGTAGGCTAAAGGTCCCAACACGCAGCACACTATGCCACGATCCAAAAAATTCCAGAAGAGATGAGAAAGAACGTTGTTGAAATACAACCCCATTTCCAAAAAAGTTGGGACACTTTTTGCACAGCGTCCCATCTCTTTTGGAAATGGGGTTGTATATCAGTCTAGAAAGGGTTACAACGGTTGGGTTATGGAGGAAAGAGTGTCCAAGAGTCTGTGAGCTGAAGCTCAAGCACGGTTGGGTTATGGAGGAAGACAATGTTCCACCTATGAATGGCTTAAAAGAAAAAAAAAAATTAGGGTGGTGTGGAGTGACCTAGTCAAAGCCCTGCCTTGAACCCCACTGAGATGCTGTGGCAGGACCTTAAATAAGTAGTTCATGCTCAAAAGCCTTCCAATGTGGCTGAAGCAATTCTGCAAAAGAAGAGTCGGCTACAAATTCCTCCACAGCAATGTGAAAGACTAATCTCCACTTATAGTAAGTGTTCAGTTACAGCTGTATGTCAAGGTGGCACAACCAGTAAGTGGGGGCACTAACTTTTTCCACACAGGTGATACAGGTTTTGCATTTTTTTTCTTCAATAAATGAAATGATCATTTAAAACCTTTATATGTTTCTTTATGTTCCCCTTTTCTTATTATGTTTTGTATGAGGATCATTTAGTGTGACAAATATGTAAAAATAGAAAAATTTAAGGTTGGGGTTAATACTTATTCACAGGACTGTATTTACCAAGCAATTTACCAAAATGTTGGCCTAATTAGAAATGGATAACTAGAATCAACTAGACACACCCAGGATTGATTCCTGTCAGAACCATGAATTCTGCCCTCTATGAGAAAGTCCTGCAGAAAAGTGTACGAGAGTCTGTGAGCTGAAGCTCAAGCAGTGGCATAATTAAGACTATCTATGTAGTATTGCTCGTTTTAATATTCCTTGTTTGTCAGTTTTGGCATCAAAATGATATCAAAATATCTTCTAATTTTATTCTGACAGTTGCACTAAAGCCTTTGAACTAGCAAAATGAACAATAACGACGTCTAACATCAAAAATCTCCCTGTCCTTTTTTACCTGTATGCTTTGGGCTGTTGTCCCCTGTTTTAAGAGTCTGGAGGTAGAGACAATACAGTTTATCCATGAAACCTGTGAAATGGTTCATCTCTGTGCAACACTTTACATAAACCTGTCCAGTGCCATCCAATCAGATGTAGAGTCACATTTCTCAAACTAGTGAAAACCACAACTATTCCATCTAACATAACTAACCAATTTGACTACAAACACTATTAATGAAGCAGCTAAGAGCAAATGTAAGTACATTTAGCAGCAGTTAGTTGGCAAATAGTAGGTTATGCGTGGCTGTCAAATTTAGTAAAAAACCCATTTGCATGAAAGAGGACTATAAATGGTTCATCTATCTCAGTCACAACAATTTTTATCTGGCTATGCAAGCATGGCTAGATACCTAAGTAATCCGACTGAACAGTACAAATAGTGACAAATAATCTATTATTTAAGGGTTGAGGTATAATTTTAAAAATATTTAAGATGTTAAAACATCATAAAACAGCAGGAAGAATTCAATATGTATGTATATGATTGCAGAAATCAGTAGAACAAACTTTTGGAAGGCCGTAACTGCAACTGTACCCCTGATCTAGCTATCGATTGATTATCGAGCTCTTCATGAGATTGCTTAGGTGTCCGGAGTCAAACTGTGCAGTGCTTTTGGTTGCCAGGAGTACGATTAAGTAGCACTGGTCTAGTGTTTATCTGTCAGCACAGATAGTTAAATGGATTTCACTAAGATTGCACTATAAACGATTTGCATTTTCATGAAATTACAGTACTAGAGCTCAGTTCCTTTTTCCATTCGTGTGAACCAAAGTTGCTGGAGCTCCGCTCTGGTGCACTCTGGCCCCACGTAACCTCATGTAGCTACGTGAATATTAACAGTCACAGGTTAACCTATTTGTTGGTTGCAATACAAGTTTTTCAAGTTAAGATCTGACACAAAATCGGTGCACCTGACAGCAATGATATTCTCCTTAGATTTATCTGATCATCAAGGTCACTGAACACATCTTTAGTTACAAAGATTAGAGAATGGTTTTCATTTCCTCTTGGTCTGTCACTTTTTTCTTCCAGGTCACATGAATGATGAAGCAAAGAGAAGAGAGCAGAAGTGGGTGGGAACATCAAAGCCTCGACCGGTGAAGGCCTCTATTGGAAACCTGCTTTCACTAATCACTCGTCTTGTCTTCTATCGACCCGTGTGGACGGAAGAAAACCAGAGCAGGGAATGTGTCCGCTACATCTTTGTGAAGTTCAGTGCTTGGCATTTTGCAGGCAGTGACATGCTCTGGGCTGGCCTGGTGATGCACTTGTGCCAGACTCTGCAGGACAGCTTTGGCAAGCTTCAGCTCAGCCTCTTCCGCGTGGCTCAATATGACGTGGAAAAGTATTCTAAGAAAAAGAAGATAGTAGACAGCTCCCAGAACTGGAGGCCAAGGATGGTCTTGTGCTGCCCACTATGGGCCTTTATTTTGATGGCATTCATTGGGTCGCTCTTCATTCTGGTCCCTCTTATTGTTTATGGGTTTCCCCAACGAAAGAACGAAGGGGAAGGAGAGAAAGATACCAGTGGGAATAGTGGGTATGGAGTGCTTGAGGGATTTGCAATTGCAGCCCTTGGAGTTCCAGCAGCTGGAGCTGTGAGATTCACCGTCATGTTGGGCAAGAACCTTATCTTTAACCAAGACCTCAATGTCAGAAGGCGCTTGGACAACAAGAAGGTCAGTGAGCAGCTGGGCTTAATGCATGAGGTTCGGAAGGAGATGAGGTTGCTCTCTTGCTTTATTCACTTTATGGAAATCTTTGAGAGACGGAAGATTAAAGTGGTGCTGGAGATCACCAGTTTAGACCGCTGCACACCAGAAAAAATTGTCGGAGTCTTGGACGCCATCAACATTCTTCTGTCTGATGAGGAAAGTCCCTTCATTTCTCTAATTGCAGTTGACCCAGAAGTGCTTACCCAACAAGTAGACCAGGCAAAGGGTTGCTTCACTAAAAAGGACAGAGCGTATAGCTTCTTGGACCGCATAATCACACTGCCTTTCACCATTCCACCATTGTGTGAAGTTTCAAAGTGCAAGGTCTTCCGAAAAATTGTGTGTGGTCAGTCTGAAATCTCCAACTCCCAGTTTGATGAGGTTGACAAATGTTGTGAATCAGAGACCTCTATTTCTGTAGAAGACAACTCTTCAATAACAACCAGCCTCATTCAAGGTCAAGTCACTCCTTTGACCACAAAGCCACAAAATGCTGAAACATATGGATTTCGGAATTATGTGTTTGATGAGAATGAGGTGGAAAAGTTAATCCAGTCTGCGTTTGAGAGCATTTTCTTGCATAACCAGGGTAGCCTTCACACCTACGTCTCAGACAACACTGTGTCCATGAGGAGGGTGATCAACTCCATCAGGGTGACCATAATGGTCATGGAAGCTTTTAAGATTGAGGTTCCTCCACCTGAAAGAGTTGCTGCTTGGGTCGTGCTCGTCGACCGTTGGCCTTGTAGACTGAGCTGGATACTTCAATGTGTGGAGGATGAAGAACAGAACCTTCAGATAAATGAAAATGACACTGGAACCCCAGCTGATGTGAATCATGACAAGACCCTTTGGAATGTGTTCAGTGAGCACAGGGTGGAGCTCCATTTGATTGGGGATGAGGTGGAGAAGTTCCTGGAAAGAGATGATGACCCAGAGCTCTTTGAGAAGTTCCTCAGAAAGGACTTTGAATTCACAGTTGGAGAGATGGCTAAATTTAAATCACATACGGTTAATCTGGACTGTTCTATCAAGAATGAGCTGGCGAGGATCAGAGGAAGCAAAAGAGTGAAAGGAACACGGAGAAGTTTTTTCAACACTTTATCTCCAAAAAGTGTAATCAACATGTCTGAAGAAGATGTTTGCAGTGAGGTCAGTAAACGTTCCATGTACATCAACATGATTCTTGATGCAAAATCAAACTTGTAAATCCAATTTTAAGCTTGATTTACTTTGTTTTCTCCACAGTTATCCAAGTTGAAGCTCCCTGAGAAGTACAATCAACTTGTGATGGAAAATCATATAAATGGCCCAACGCTGCTCCTTAGTGACCCAGCCGATCTGAGACAGGTCATGCAGATGACTCTTGGTGAATGGACAACTTTTAGGATTCACTTTCTTGGGGTCAGGTCGTTTGGTCACCGGAGCCAAACGAAATCCACACCAGTAAACCCAAAGCCTAATGTGGTCATTTGCCCCTCTGGTCTAAAACATGACCATATGACTTAACACCTCAATAACAGTGTAGTTCATGTAGTTCTAAATAAAATATAACATATTTTAAGTAGTTTATATTAAGTGTTAAATTTCTACAACTTGTAACTATCAAACCTTGTAGAAAACATTGACCATGGTTAGACAACTAGTGTTAGTTTGCCCCCCTTCATCACTTGAAGAGTTTCTTTTTCTCTAACCCTTTTGTACCAACCTTTAAAACTACTGCATTTTCAGCTGGGAATTCTTGTGGTGAGTTTAGATCTTTATATTTTTGTATGTGTCCAAAAACTGATTTAATAGCTATTTCTTTCTTGTGGCTGCCTGCCACCCAACATCCCACAGATTTCTATGAAAAAACAAGAAAACAGAAAAGAATGGAAGCTGTAACAAAGGTGTATGTGATATTATATTTAATTGTTAAGGTTTGTGAGTAGCTTTCTGTCTTTTTTTTCTGATTTTTTCTGATTTTTTCCTGATGCTGAAAAATGAATAATTTGTACTAAATGGCCATTTTGAATTGAACGTTCATGAGTTACATACTGTGTCCATATACTTTACTCAGCAACACTTCTTTCACTGAACAGCACACACTTTCCTCCCAGAGCCAGACTTGCAAGAACATCATCTTAGAATTTAATGTATGCTGGCTAGTTAGACTATTCCCAGAATGAGACACTGGATAACAGCTTTGATATGCAATTGACTTTTCCAGACTATAAATTGTTCAAGTTTGAGAGATGAATACATCTGCAGAATGGAGGCTTTGAACTCTTGGCTTTAGTTCTAATGCTTCTCTGGGACTGAAGTAAAAATAGACTATAAGTGTTTCTTCACTGTACTATGTGTGAAATGAAATGACATTCAACAAAGTAAGTCAACTGATGTACTGTACTTTGTAGACTTTGTAGCATCACATAACAATTAGCAGTCATTAAAAGAAGTTTGGGATTCATTAAATATTGATTAATCAGGACATGAAATGAAATTGCTTTAATCTTACTCCCATGTCCCTACTGTAGCATTATTTGTAAGAACTGTGAACTTTTTATCCCTTACAATTCAGCAAATTACCAATGCATATGAAGATGAACTGTAGAATTAAGCTCAATATCACTCACTGGTAACTGCCTCCTCTCCTCCAACTCACCTGGCGACTGCTTCCTCTCTTTTCATGTGGACTCCTCTCCTCCAACCTACCTGGCTACTTCTGGCTTCTCTGCAACACATGATGTCACCATGTCTTGTGCACCAAATGAGTCAGACACCTCAAGGTTGTCTCCAGGTTCAGTGTAGCTAATTTGGCTGTTTCCAAAAGCAGGGTCAAGGAAAACAACTGGCAGGATCAGGATGAAATCAGTGTATCAGTGAGAAATACTCACTGATACACCAGTGAGGCAAGCACTGACAGAAGAGGAAGCAAAAATGTAAGAAGGAAAGAATAAAGGCAAGCAAAAAAAGGAGAGGAAGTCTGCCAAGAAAACATTGAAAGCTAAGCCTGAGGATTCTGAGACCTCAGATGATGAAAACATTTGTGTTGTCTGTAAGGAGCAATTTGGCAATTTGAAGCCAAAGAAAGTGTGGAGAAAAATGTGCTGTATGCAGTCTCTGTGTCCACCAAGCCTGTACTCTAGAGTTACAAACATTCATTTTTCACCTTTGACTCAGATTGATGATTAAGAATATATACACAAACACACACACACTGACGTTTTTATTAGTAGATGTACATGTACATGTACTTTACACAGGTTTACACTAATTTACACACACACACACACACACACACACACACACACACATGAGTCAAACAGAAAGTGGATTTGAGTTGTGGTCACAGACAGAGACATTATTCTGGATTGTTCTTTTATTTCAGTAAACCTCTTTTTGAAGCATATCGCATGGTATGGCCTCTTATTTGGTTCTTCTGTTTAATTGTTACAACGTACCCCAGCATGTGTTACAACCTACCCCAGTAGTAGGGTAGGTTGTGACCAAGGAACACCATGTATTAGACATCAACTCATGAGGTCTGTGATATTCTTGCAGAGGTTTTAATTTGTGCCATTTGTAGTAAACAAATTGGAGAATTCTAGCTCAAAAAAAAAAAAAGCTGAAGCAACAAGTGTTAGAAGCATACCCAGACTCCCTACTGTATGTAACATAGATATGAAGGCAATTTATAAGATGGAATTTCTGCAAAATTTGACAATAATACTTCAATACAGTAAAACCTGCTATAAAAAGTGCAAAGGTAGACTTTTATACATATGCTAACAAATAAAGAAATCCTTTTTAGTCCAGCACTGCTTCCAGATTTGACCGTTTAGGCATTCATATTCATGCTTTCACCTTCCTTGGTTAACCATGCACAGCAACAACATAGGACAAATGTGATGGTCAGAAGCATTTTCATTAAAATTCTGTATTAAATAACTCATTGCGTGGTTTAAAGATTCAATGTTTATTTAGCATGTGATAGTGAAACAAAGAAAATCAAATGACTGATGGAGACTGCAGTGGTCAGATGGAAGCTTCTAAAAGGTTAAATGCTCTGTCTTCCAGGCTTTGGAGGTGTAACAACCGATTACAGCAATGTTTGTTTTTGTCCTGCACCCACACACTGACCAGTTCTCTCTTTCATTTTGCTCTCTTGCCATATAAACACCTGCTCCTTTTTCTTTATGAAATTTTGGTGGAGATTAGAGACAGTTTTGTTGGACTGATTATTCATTCTGCTTGTGAAAGGTGAGGCATCATTATCATTTTTCAAGGAATTTACAAAGAGATTTAGTCAAGAGACTGATTGTAAAAGCATAACATGACATGTTAAAAGGTATGTTTTGTATGCATTTAATCTGATGTGCTGTCTGTTTATGTATTTTTCTTATTCAGCAACGTACTTTTCATTTTAAACACGCTCGAACAAAATTGGTACAATAGCTCAGCCTGAATTAGATGAAATGAATGCACTGCTTCATAATATTGTGGCTCTACCTCAAGCTAATGGTAGAGACACAAAACAGGGCATTCAAGCATAACCCCATTTATAGCAAACCATATCCACGCACATCAAAACAAAAGCACAGCAAAGCATTTTCTCCAACCCTGCTGAAATAAACTAAAGACTGTTCGAAATGTTATGGTTTTGCTTTTTAACGTGAATTGGCTTAAAGGTTGCCATTAAAGACCACAAGTTTCCTGTAGGACACCCTTAGATCCCATTAGGAAACCATCAAATACATCTGCAGTCCGTCCCAGAAGACCTGTTAAACCATCAGAATCCTTTACACTTTTCAGCAGGGATAACACACATCACTATTATATTTTCTCCTTCTCAGGCTTACTAGCACATATTTTGCCATAGACAGGAAGGCACCAGGCTAATAATGATGGCAAAAGGTACAAAACATAAAGTAAAACAAACAAACAAACAAACAAACAAACAAAAACATGTCAGGAAGCAGAGCAAATAAACATGGGTGAAATGGAAAAACATTCAGTAAGTTATGATGGAAATCTTTCTAATTATCAATATCAAACTACCATTTCAGCGAAATAGCACCTAAATGTTTTTGCCTTTTGACTCAACCACTCAGTATTCACCCTACGGCATGCTTAGATTGAACTCAGCCAATTATAGCTATTGTTTTAATCTGTGTTTGTATTGCATGATGACTTCGCTCTGTAGGACATTTGAGGAAGTGCTGTCTTTTAAACAAAAACATTGCACTACTGCACTCAAGTAGTTTGTGATTTCTGAGATGAGCCAGTGCACAGACTTAGTTCTAGTGTCTACCAGTAAACAGATAACTTTAAGTACGCAGTCATATTAAAGGGGTACATCGAGTCTTGACTCTTGAACCAAAGTGTCTGCTTACCTCATAGCATAATAAGCTATGATTGCACTAATGCAGGTTCTTCTGCTCTTGGGTAACAGTTTTCATTCTCTTTTGCCAACAGATCTGTACTCAGAGAGTGTTTATGCCTATGCTTTGGCCAAAACTTGTACAAAATGACCCTCAAGAGCATTAAAGGTATGTGTACTTACAAACAGGAGTTACATTGGGATTTCAGAGATGCAAGAACCCTGTTTTTTCCATGGGTTTCAAAATATGGGAACAGTATTGTTTAGTTCATGGAGTTTTCATTACTAAGATCATGAAAACTAAATTGAAACTAGCAACCTATCTACAGTGCCAGGAAAAAGTTATACTATTCTATTTGTCACGCTTAATTGTTTCAGCTCTTAAAACAAAATGTAATATAACACAAAGACAACCTGAGTAAACACCAAACACAGTTTTTAAATGATCATTTTATGTATTAAAGGAAAAAAGTTATCTAACACCAGTTGGCACTATGTGAAAAAGTAACATTCGAACATGGTGGTGGTAGTGTAATGGTGCCTCAGGGCCTGGGCGAGTTGCCCTAATTGACAGAACCATGAATTGTGCTGTCTATCAGAGAATCCTGCAGGACACTGATGAATCTGTCATCTGATGCTCAAGCGCAACTGATTTATTCAGCAAACAACAATCAAAAGCAAGAGCAAGTCCACTTCTGAATGATTCAAAAAGCTCAAAAGCCCTCAAGTGCAGCTGAATTAGAGCTATTGTGCAAGTGTGGGCCAAAATTCCTTCTCAGTGAAAGACTGACTTCCAGTTAGAGGAAACGTTTGGTTGCAGTTGTTGCTGCTAAAGGTGGTGCAACTAGTTAATGAAGTCCCTGTCAACATGGTTTCAAATGAAACTTTTGTTTTAGTAGTAACTTTGTCACAAAATAAGCATTTACATATTGATTGACAGTGGTGTCCTCCTGGCAATGGACCTAGTGCCAGTGGCCAAAACCACCAACAATGCTAGAATTGGCGCAGCAGGAAGGGTCACTGTGGTTCAGTCCTACACGATTGAGCCATCTCACTCTCAGTTTGAAGAAGACCCTCTGGCACTTGAAAACAGAACACTTTGCTCTTCTTGACCAGTGAGTGTAAAGTGCAAAATTGAAAACAAGCGGTCTAATGGTCAGTTTAGATATCTAATTGCAATTCACAGCTAAAGTTCAAGAGCTAAAGTTTTCATCTTATAATGGGTAGATCTTGGATAAATCATGTTTATTTGAATTGAGGTCACACAAGCTCCCATTTGAGAGACACTTGTAGCCTTGTGTTGAGGTGCCTGTTCAAGAGCTTTTTTCAAAAAAAAATCCATGCTATGTTTGTATATCCTCCAATCACCAGCTTCACTGGCCTTTCATCTCACTGGAGAGTCTGGTTGGTAGTGAGGTTAGCTTTCACCAGCTTCAAATATGGGGTCAGTAATGAAAACACAATGAATAGCATTGACAACTAATTATAGCCAAACAGCTTGTGCATAACTTCTTACTACAGTAACATACTATGAGGCTTTGGGTTCACTAACGTTAACATTAACTATGCTCATGTTGTCAAAAAACACTCCGAAACATCAGGTAATGTTGGTCTCCGGCTGCGTCCCAAACTGCCTACATACTGCCACACTAAATAGTATGTAAAAAATAGTACACCACTTTTAGAAGTGCTTTTTCAAGAAGCTGGCGAATAAGCTGACTTCCTCAAAGAATACAAGTAAGCTCTTCTTTTTGTCTCCATACTGTTCAAAGCCAGTTTCTCAGATCAATAAACAGGAGTAATACAACATGCTTATTTTCTCATAATTCGCCATTTCGCTATTTGAGGTCCCTTCAGAAATGCACTACAACCACTCACAACGACAAACTCACCTCTAAGCCCTTGGTTGTATCTCACATTGGCACCCAGCATCTTTGAAAACATTTTCATTGCTGGGAGTCACACTTTGAGTCTTTGTAAGAAATCGTTTTGCAGAGGTTATTTTAGATCCGAGAGCATCACATGATGGTGGTAGCACCATTATTATGACAAAATTTTTCATGTGCCTTATGTGCATCAAGCCTGTACAGTAAAATTCTGGGAAAC